GCTCCACCCTCTGACATTAGATTTCAAAACTGTCATCCTATCGCATCCTATTGCATCGTTGTGTGTAATTGCATGTAGTACTTGAGATAGCTGAGCTATTCTCTAGATTTCTTATCTCATTCGGATCAACCAATCAAGATTGTGTTAAGTTTTTGTGTTCCGCTTGTCTGACTGCGCCTGTCCTACTACTTCCACCTATGTATTTGACCTGACAATCATTGCAGGAGTATTAGATAAACTAAATTGTTTTGTTTTAAAGGCTCCACAGGATTGATCCTCTAACCGACAAATCTTGTTTCTAATTGAGTTTGTGGGTTTAAATGCCACTTTTATTCCTGCCTTGTTAAGAATTCTGCGTAAGGTTTCCGAGGTTCCTTCTTGCATGGAATTACTACTGATGATTTAGATTCCGTATTGTTGGTGTTGTCATTGTCTTGCGCATTTTTGACATGCATATCGTCATTAATACTATTATTATCACTATCGCAGGAATAAAAGCGTCATTCAAACACAAAAACTCAATTAGAAACAAGATTTGTCGGTTAAAAGATCAATCCTGTGGAGCCTTTAAAACAAAACAATTTAGTTTATCTAATATTCTACTGGAGTGATTGTCAGGTCAAATACATAGGTGAAAGTAGTAGGACAGGTGCCGTCAGCAACTCACATAAAACTCTTATTTTTGTGAAAAAAACTATTGCAATTATTTGCCTTTCAAACACTGAATCGTTGGGTATAATATTGTCGATCGATAATGCCTATAACTATCTATTTGCCACTCTGTGCTTGTGTTATAACACAAAGTAATATCTTTAATTGTACATATTGATGGATTTACATGTTCAACTTGGCTCAAGTCAGTGAGTCTATGATTTTGGTATCAAATTGGTTAACTGTACTTGATAATTATTATGATTATTATTGTATCCTTTAATTCCTAGAGGAACAGAGAGCTTCAGCCGTGCGTCTCCATTGCGTTTAATTCTCTGCTAAAGTTTTTACCTGGCTTCAAGTCTGCCCACACGCTCTTATCTCCTCTTCACATGACCTCCTCCAAGTCACCCTTGCACTGACGACCAACTCGCCGCTTCCCTTTCGGGTTCCACTCGAGCGATGGCTCGTCTGGTGATGTCACTTGGTGGTTTCCTTAGAGTATGACCAGCCAATCCATCTCCATTTCTTCCTGCCTATTTGTTTCACAATCGGTTCCTGCTGAGTTGGTTCGCTCATTGCCAGAGATCTCTGATGCTGATCTTTTCTGGCCGGCCATCTGATCTCGAGCTAAGCATTGAGAGAAGACATCTGTTAATGAAGGTCTGTAGTTTGTTTGAGATGCTCTTTATGACGCGCAGTGCAAGTCTCTGATCCGTATGGTAGCACTGACCTCAAACTGGAGTTGAAAATCCGGATCTTATTTTTGATGCTGAGTTTTGTTGACCTCCACACAGACTTGAGAGTAGTGGAAGCTAATCTTGCTTTTCCGATTCTCGCTTTGATATCGCCATCAGTTCCGTTCTCCTGTAATTTAAACGATGCTTCCCAGGCAGGTAAAAGAGGTCGATTCTTTCAGGTTCCTCCCATTTATGCTGATCGTTGTCTGTTGTTGTTGTTCTTGTCCAGGAATCTTCATCACCTCTGTTTTCTCTATGTTCACCTGAAGTCCTATCTTCTCTGGATGCATTTTCTGCCAACTTGTTGCTTTTCGCTTGCATATCTTCCAGTTTGTGGGAAATCAGACACATATCATCGGCGAAGTCCAGATCCTCCTAGTTTTTTGTGTGAGTTCATTTTATGCCTGTTTCCTCATTGCCCGCTGTATGTCTGTCGCATAATCCAATCTACTGCAATCAGGAAAATCATTGGTGACAGTCGGCAGCCAGCCAGACTTGTCTTACTCCTGTCCTCACTTCGAAGGATTCCGTGAGGCTCCCGTCGTGGATTACTTGGCATGCAGCATTGTCGCACAGCTGATGGATGAGATGTATAATTGTCAGTGGCACCCCACAGTAGCGAAGTAGTTTCCAAATCACCTCTCGATCGATGCTGTCTGTCGAAGGCCTTTTCAAAGTCGATGAAGTTGAGATAGCGAGGTGACTGCCATTCCAAGCTTTGTTCAATGATGATCCGTGACGTGGCGATCTGATCAATACATGACTTGTTTCTCCTGAATCCAGCCTGTTCCGGTCAAAGTTTTTTATTCAGGGCTTAGTTGATCCTCTCCAGGATGATGCGGCTTAGTATTTTGCTTGGGATGGACAGGAGCATGATTCCGCGCCAGTTCTTGCATTGACTTAAGTCTTCTTTTTTTGGTAGTTTGAATAGGTCTCCTTTCTTTCAATCCTCAGGTACCTGGCCTTCTTTCCACACCTTCTCCAGTAGTGGCGTCATCAAGTTCGCTGTTGTCTCTGGGTCAATTTTCTATGCTTCTGCTGGGATTCCATCTGGTACTGCTGCTTTTCCAGCTTTTAGCATCTTGATTGCCTTCAAGACTTCTGATTTCGCTGGGGGGTTGGTGTTGACTGGTAGCTCTGTCTCCGTTTTTGATATTGTTGGGCGCGTTGTAGGTGGTGGCCGATTTGGGAGTCTTTTGAAGTGTTCAGCCCAGTGTTTCCTTTGCTCCACTTTTTCGGTGAGTGACTTTTCATTGTCATCCTTCACTGGCTTGATTTGTGTCAAACGTTTGCCCGATGGGTACCTAGTTGTTTGGTAGAGCGTTGCGAAGTCTCCTTTGCCCGCAGCTGGTTCTGCTTCACTTGCCATGGCTTCATAATATTTTCTTTTGTTTTCCATGGCACTCTTCTATACTCTTCTCTTCAGTGTATTGTAGCTTGCATTCAAATCCTGTTTTTGTTGCTCGTCGCACCGAGCACTGGAGAATCTTTTGTTTCACCATCCCTCTCTCTTCTATCAGTCTCCAAGTGTCCGTAGTGAGCCACTGTTTGTCCTGTCTCTTCTTTCTGCCTAGAACTTCCATGCAGGTTTGACTCCACACTGTTTTCAAGTTGTTCCAGTGCTTTTCGACGCTGACCTCTTCGCTAGTGTTTATTTGTGTCTCGGCTTTGTCCTTTATGCTTGCAGTGAAGATGTCCTTTGTGTCCTGGTCCTTCAGTCTTTGAGTGTTGAACTTGGCTTGTGGTCTATCTGCAGCTCCTGTTTCTCTGAAAGCTTTTAATTTGATTTGGATTGTGCCTTGTACGAGATAGTGGTCTGAGCCAACGTCTGCTCCTCTTGTTACTTTTGTGCTCAGTATTCTGCGCCTCCACTTCCTTGAGATTGAGATGAATTCAATTTGGTTTTCGGTTCGCCCATCTGGTGACACCCATGTAGCTTTGTGGATATCTTCGTGTTTGTATACGCTGCCACCATGATATTTTGTGAGTTTGTTTGATTCATAGTATTGGATTGGTTAGCTGCTTTTTGTCTAACCGCTATCCAAACAACATTTTCGGCATAGTAGGACCTACAGGAACATAAGTTCCAGCCAGTGTAGCTCGTTGGGTCATTGCGATATGCAAGCCCGACTACCACGTCAAGGTAGCAGCTATCGATCGGGAAAGACTCAGAGATATTAGACATTTGTTATCACCTCGTATGAAATTCTAATGGCAATCACATATCATATTACCTATCAGTCGCAGAATAATAGCATAGAAATATTCAACTGTGGAGTTTCCCAAAGTAATTTTACCACTGTGTCTGGCATTCCCAAATCACATTTCGAAGTGTCGTTTACATCTACCTTACTGAAGAAGCATTATGTATTACTGAAAGAATATTTTGTCTATCACTTAAGAAGACCACTTTTTGCTTAATGACATGAAACTCTGATTAAGGAAAGATAATATTGTCCATTAGTGTGATGAAACGGTCAACAGTATGAAGGTGTAAATCCATCTCTGAATGTTGTTGCAGCTCCTGTATATTAATTCCAATGAAAATGTTATTTTCACCCTAGAAATTTACAAGATAATTGTTAGGAATGATGTTTTATTGTGAAACATCCACTTTCTATCCATTCTGACCAGATGAACAAGAGAATCATGTTTTGAAAATGAAAATCTACGCAAAACAAAGAAATCTGATTCATTCACACTTTCATACTGGAACGACGTGCGTGAATGGACTACAGTAGGCGCCTTGTTACTAATACATATGTAGAGTGATACTTCACTTGAGTATGATTATGATTATCAGAAGTAGCAAGGATCATGTTGACTGAAAAATATGTTATTTTGCACCCCGTTGTAATTCTCTTAAACACTTACACACGTTGCACAAACATTGAAAACATTATCATGGAGAACATTGGAATAATGTTCAAATTAAAAATTGGTTTGTTTACATTGATGTTTTGCTGCAGGAATGTACATGAATAAAGATCATTTTGGAGTATCTCATTCAGTGTTATCAGAGTGTTTATTTACGTAGTTTCGGAACAATTATATAAATGTCACATGTGTGAATACTTGAGCAGTATATTGGAATAGGAGACTGTGAGTTTATCAGCTTGTAACTGACTGATGTGTACGAATACCATAGGTTTCGATGTTGTAAATGAAAAATTATTTGTAATATTCAGATATTAACTATATTATTCTTATTCTCTGAAGTTCGAAGTGGAATATAAGCCTTCAAACGCACGATTACATTTCATCTTGCTTTCTCCAGTTTACTTTAGTTGCCTCCGCGGTTTCCCATTGGCTTTTATCTCCTATTCACACCATCTTCATTTAACCCTCTAACATCCAACGCCCATCCCCTTTCCACTCCAGGGCCTGATGCGTCGTGTGAAACTAGTGGGAGACAATTTGCTTGTTGAGTCATATACTCATATTTGTATATCAGATTTGAAGAGTGATCCGCGGACCAAATAATGAATTCCACCTTATCCACATGTAAATGAGCATATATGTGTAGCTCACAGTAGTGATTCTGTCAAATGTTTTCTATGATAATCTGTAGACTCATTCGTATAGTATATTGCTTAGTGTTTCACGTATTGATGTTCTTTGTGGTGTGCAATGATGAATAATTATGTCAATCATTTTCAGATTTACAAAGGAGCCAGGAATTATAAGCTAATGATGTGGTTCACAGCTGGTGATGCGATGGAGACTGGCGAGTGAGATAACATTTCAACCAATCCATTTCGATTTCAGTAAAGTCACTGATGAAAGAAAAGTAGATCCATTGCCTATTCTGATTGTGAAGATTGTACTTGGGTAAGTACGTGCATATACATTTCCATCTACTTTTCAAAATTAAACTGCTCACTTCCAACAGATAAGATTTAATACGGTGTGAAACATTCCCATATCATGAATTAAAGTAAATTTGAACGAAAAATATTCTTTTCAATATTTACTCTTCAGGTTCTCAGAATTATGAAATATAATATTTGTTGTTGTTACAATAATGGCCAGTTATGCGGCAGATACATTCTCTACGTAGAATAACAGATTAGTTATAGGGTGTCAAAATACATAGTCGTATTTGTATGACAAACCTGCAAGTTGGCTGAAATCGATTACAAAATATTTCTGTGAAATGGGAGACAATGGTAATGATTTATATATATGTCCAAACCAAGTTCACTTTTAACAGTTTGAAAAAAATTTCGGCACTGAGTATATGATATTCACTATAATAAAGGGTTTTATATTTCCCAATGAATGAAATACAAAACGATATTGTTTGTAAAAACAATATCAGTCCAAGTTTGTCTACGGTAGGAACAGCGTCTGGACCGGTTTTTTGGATACAAAGGTCCGGTTCAGTCGATATTATTCTCACCAACAGTGCATCTTCCGTTCAACCCTCTTGGTTTTCTTTCTTTCTTTGCTTATTATTACAATTATTATTATTGTTATTATTATTCGTCATAATTCATGCCATTCATACAAACATTCTCCCAATACTATCGAATTTTCCATTTATACTATCCGGACTTATTATTAGTGATATTATATCCTTTCTCAATATATGCTTCCACCTGTTGCATTTCACACATTCGTTATTTCATTATGAACCTCTCATTGCAATCTTACTATCCTCTCTTTAATACATACCACTTTGTGCTAGCCACTCACTCACCTGACACCTTCTAATAATCTTGAACTGACTTGTCAATTTTCCTACCCCACACTCTACAAATCTATTATGACTAATCACCACCATTCTCTCCCATTTCATCGAAATATTTTGTAATCGATTTCAGCCAACTTGCATGTTTGTCATACAAATACGTTTATGTCTTTCGACACCCTATAACTAATCTGTTATTCTATGTAGAAAATGTATCCGCCACGTAACTGGCCATTACTATAACGACAACAAATATTATATTTCATAATTGTGAGAACCTGAAGTGTAATTACTGCAAAGAATGTTCTTCGTTCAGATTGACTTGCAACAGATAAGTTGAGCAGTAGACAGTAAACTGATCATGGAGAGTATGGAGAAATGGCAAGTTTCAAAATGTCGGAGATGGATTCTCATCCTGACAACCTTTTTCTTCTGACTTCTACTTAACTGAATTAAAGTTATTTTATAAACAGTGAGGTGATTCATGTCATAGTGGGTTGTAATTATCATGTACTTTATTGGTTCTTCTAATATTCATTGACTGAATGTGTTATAATTTCGGTGAAGTAAGTGAGACAGGAGTGTGAAAGTGCATGACTTTGTTCAATTCAACAAGATATCTTTCAATGTTATTAATTTCTCGCTAGGAAATCTTTAGTTAATCTCACTGTTTGTAGAATGGTGCATATGAGACGTATTTGAGTACCGCATTGTCTATGGAATCACAAGTTGAAATGAAATTAACAAAGTTTCTCATTAGAGTAGAAATGTGTAGAATGTTTATTTCTTAAAGCATATTTCTGATCAAGTTTCAACTGTGATGTATGTTGAAATGTCCAAGGAAGGATCCTATCACAATGATCGTGTTACTTCACCTATTGGTGAACAATGTATGAACAATGAGTTATACCAGACGTTGCTGTCTGAGCACAAACTGATCTGCTATTGATTTTGATGAATTCATTGATGCCACATTGTATTATTCATTTCAGAATCTTTGGTTTCATTATGAACATGTGCGTACTACTTACTCTGACATTACGACTGAAGTACCGAATTTACATCATTATGATGACATTGGCAGTAAGTTATGAACTGATGTAATTGTTTCGTGAATGATTCTCTTGTAAATGTAGACTGAAATGCAGCGTCCTTGAATAACATCGTGTGAAATCGTATTTCCATAAAGTATCTCATTGTAGATAAGCAAATGAAAATTCACAGAAATTTGTAGTTTTCGTTGTTAATTTGGAGATTTCAGTTGTTGGACACCTTCATTTAGCCAGTATACATCTCGTGTAGGAAAAGTTGTAATCAACAGATTCGACAGTTGAAATTGTAAACTATTCACCACTCAGCTTATTGCTGTGCAACTGATATTTATTAACAACATGAAAGAAGGTTCAAAGAAAGTCTTTAGGCAATATTTCCTCGACATATCAGAGTATAGTGAACTTATTTTAGTGTATCACACTCTTGGCATTACTATTCCAACGTGGTTCTTTGTAATCGACTTGTCAGAATATACAGACATCAAGCTGAGTGGTTATCATTGAACGAATTATCAGGCGAAATGAAGAGACTGGCTGCAGTAAAACTGGATCATCTTGAGTGTCTGAAGGTGAAATCAATTTAGAAGAAACAACTGGTGTATAACACCTCGCAGATCACAAATAATCCTAAACTACCTGCGAATGTCCGCAACATTCAGTTGTCCTCTGAAATGAAACGCACTGTAGACATTTAGCCAGACACGTGGATATTTGTTTACAAAAACATGAAGACAACACGTGACGATGCAGAAAGCATCATGATTTTGACACCAAATCGACAGATTGCCATGATCGGAAATTCATGTACGTTGCAGATCACATCGTTGCTTACTGGTCTGAAGTTTGATAACACTCTGATCTCTTCAGTGAATACAACTACAATGATGACTGGTACATCACATTTCACGAGAAATATGCGCTGACTTCGGAAATGCTTTGAGTAATGAAATGTCATAATGTGAATGACCGCTATCGATGTAACATGAACACACAAAGCAAAAGTGTCGAATGTTTCTGCACAACAAGTTATAATCTATCTATTTTTGATTGTGTTGTCTAGATCCTTTCATGGACTGTCGTTGATTGTATATTGTGTTATCAAACTGGCATTATAAACAGCTTGATTTCTTTCGTTATAACGGCTGTCATGGCTTCACTAGCAATGTTTCTTGGATTCAAATCAAAACATTTTACACCGAAGGGATATGCTGTGTTTTATGGATTGCTTGCGGTATTCTGTATCTTAGGATGCATCTTCTGCATTATATCTGAATACTACCATGTGAGTGTTTAATGTGAACTGCGAATCTTACCCCAGAATTTCCTAGTGTAAATACGCATGTATGAAAACACATCTGGAAAGTTTGCAATTGGCTAAGTATTGTGTTGCTACTATTTGCGTAATGCATTGTGACGAGTTCACGCCAATTGCATATTTAGTGAATAGCGAATTCTCTAGCGACCCCTTGCATTTTGAAAATAGACTGAATGCTAGTGATTATTCCATATCATAAACAACAATCTATGATATTTTACTTGATAGAAATAAAACCGTCTCTGGGTTCACTTTGCAAACTAAAGTATACTTCTTACGTTCAACTGAATATATTATAGTCTGTGATTAGAAGAAGGGAAGTTGTGTTCTCACTTCGATGGAATACTTGACAGACGATCTCTGTTAGCTACTAAATCCAAACTAACTAACTGTTTGTCGGAATCAGGCATTTCTTCGAATCTCAGTTTCGAAGGATAATTTCAGTTACAAATCGAAACAGTTCCCTTATGCCATTAGTATCCAACCAAAGATTCATAAATTTTCACACTAATTCTTATTTTCTTTGCTTCCCAATTTCAGTTTCCATACAATGTACTAGGCGCCATATTCCTTGGTTGTGGAGTAATGCTCGTGAGTTCCAAACATTTTTCCTGAGGATGTTATATTGACACTTTTCAATGTGTAATCTATGTGATTATTCTCATTGATAGTTCTCATCATTGTCAGTTAACAGTATTTACTCAGCTGATCTCCACATTTGTAGCTGGATTGTCCTTTGTGCATTTATAGTTAGATATAAGTAGTGCACTGATGCACGTCTTCAAAGAAACATAGAAAATGTGTATGCTTGTGTCATTAGGAAGGTCAGTGAAGACGAAATGCAACAGGAGAGTGGAGATGTTGGAAGAAATAAAGTGAGATCAAACAGAAATGTTGGAAAAAGACATCTTGCGGAATGGATGATATTACTTTCAATTTGTGAAACCAGTGTAGGCTTCATGATTTTCGTGATGTCTGTTTATTTCTGAATACTTGTTCTCAGCAGGATACTTCTCAGTTGGTGTAACTGTTGATGAGGCATATCGGATGATGTTAAATTCCGATATTTCATTTTATCGCTAGGTTCACTGATTATCATGAGAAACCGTCCACTAATGAAATTCACTGAGCTTGTGTAGGCCTCATCATTCAAAGGTGCATTGAGATTGCATTTATTAAAACAGACCAAATGTTTTTTCCTCATATTCACTCCGAATCTTTGCAATTTGTGTTATGATATCCGCAGACAATATACTACATAACAGTGTGGTTAAAGTATTCCAAAGAAGAAATAGTAAGATGGAAGTTATTTAAAATCTACATTGAATTGTTCATTTTTCTGGGACTATTCATGGTATTCGCCAATTTATTCGATTACACTCAGTTGAGAAGAATGAAGTTTGCTGATATTGTATCATTTTCTACCTTTGATGATACCTGAATAAATAAACAAGTAGTTGTATACGCTGACTTCTGTTGTAAAGTCGAAAATTCTCAATATCATTAATTTCGTTTCACTGCTTCAGAAAGTGATTTCAAAAATGATCTTCACGTGTTTGAGTTAGTAACTGTAACTGTTATCCTGATAAGCAACGTGACGACGTTGTTATATTTGTTAGGTCTTGTTAAAGCATTATTCCCAATTCACAAACCTGGCGACCGAATCCTCCACCAAATTAAATGTCTACCTGTATTATTTTGTCGAGAACAGTTTCTGTGCACACTTATGACATCCCTTGAGTGGATTTAATCGTGCCAGTTGGTTTGAACGAAGTCATATGCTGTAGACAATTTCACCACCTTGTGATGTCATTATCAGATATCATCCATATTATTGCCATTTTTGTATGCAAGTACATCTGCACTTCCTTGGTATTTTTAATAGTTTTTAGTTTGTCCAGGTGTCCGGATCAGTTGACTATATCCGTTCCCTGGATTAAAACAAATTCCTCGCACACGCTGTCGTATAACCACGATGGAAGAATTCTACACTGTGAGGTTATTTCGTATCCTGACAATAAGTAACTCATTTCAGTTATTCACATTCCTCCACCTCTGAAATGACACTCATGAGTTATTGAGAACATGGCGAAATAAGCCTCTAGAAATAAGCCTCCATTACTGGTTTTGATTTTGTTATGCAGTAATTTCTTACTTATATTATAGTCTAGTTACTAATGAGCACAATGAATATCGTTGACCATAACTCTTACTTGTCTTCTCTGAGGCATTCAGCTTTAATACTTTATCCAATATTGTATCACAAACAGTCGACACTTCGAGATGATAGAAGAATGCTCATGTGAGGAATGTACGCCGGCATAAGGCAGTGAGATTACATCATACAAATGAATTCAATGCAACAGTGTTGCACAAATATGAGACTACAGATGCATTTGTGAACAGTCTTGATATGTTGTTTTCCGCCTACAAATGGCGTCACAAGCGATCTTTCTGTGTATTTGCATTATGTTTTCATCTGTAGTTACATGTATATGAGTAGGACTTGAGCACTGTGGTGGAGTATAACTCCATAATATTAACTGATGTTTTTGCCCATCGCATAATACTGTATAACACTGTGAGACTTTATCAAAATAAATTTTCTACACAGTAGAGAGGTACAGGAAATTGATGACGTTATCAGACTGGTTAGACTTTACCAAGTGCTACTGCGACTAGACAAATCACCCAACCTCTTGTTCCACAACGCGTATTATCTATCTTTTTATGAATAAGTATCAATTTCACTGAGTATTTTCCGTGTTTCATAATCATACTCAAGTGTAATTATTGAAGTGAATATGAACATATGGTGTGGAGTTTTCCATATGTCGTGTGAATGTATCTAATTGTTGAGATGGTAGCTATATGGATTTTGATTTTATTGAGCCTAAAATCAAAAATAGAAAATCAGTTTAGAGGTTTGGAGGCGATCGGCCACTTTACAAACCTGACTGATAGAATTCAGTCTGCACCAGACAAAGCACTAGACACATCACACTAGTTACTGACTAGTGTCCAATCAAAGAATATTAGTTTATTCAACAATGATCTATGCATCGATTCGATTACTTTGCAAACTTGTATTTCTCACAAAATGTAATCACATATCTTCAAGACTTTGCCAAACAAAACATTATAACATCATTTACACTAACACTGATCAATTCACAAGAGTAATTTGCAAATGAGATCTAAATAAACAAAGGTCATTCTCGAGTATTTCACGGAATGGTAAATAACATGCGTTTTGAATTTCTGAGTGTCTGATTTCATATCAATTGAAATATAAGTTGAGTTAGAAATGGTAGTCGACAGGGAAGCATCGATGTGTTGAAGTTAGCGTCAGCTATCCTTACTCAGAGCAAGGTGACACAGATATATCTGTATATCTACGCAAATGTCTTTCGGTATTATTCAGGGTATATTAACCACAGGTGATATCACCACATGTCTGCTTCATGTGCATATTTTTCATAACGACCAAATCTATTTGGTCATCTTCACGTTTTACTGTACAGCCGACGAAACTTCGTTGAGACACACGCTATCACAAAAGGTTCCAAAAGCTGAGAAAATACGATCAATTTTCAATACCTGAGCGCTTCTACTAAACAATAATAACAGTGAAACTCAGATTTACCTAAATAGCGCTGTGAGGCAGCTATACAGGCAATAAATCTTTAGAAATAAAAAACAAGCATTGTAAGATAAAATCAGTTAACCAAAGTTCAGCTTTGAAAGGCATCTGTGAATCGAGAGGAATATTCCCAAGAAGGTGGAATCAAAAGCTCTGTGCACAAGAAACACACACCAACGATTCCTGCAGACAGTTCCGAGTCACTCGAAAAAATTCATACCATCCAACAACAAATTGTCAATGTACACACTGGCAAAGAAGTATTACAATTAAAGATTAAACAAGGACAAAGGCAAATTAGTAGAGGTAGAAATCAACATGTGATATGCAAATGTCGAATTTATGATACATAGTCTAGGTGGAAAACGCATAGTGATTGCAGAGTTAATTGAAACTTTTAAATCAGCACAAATAATGGATTGTCCAGGAGGGATTTCCAAACAATTTGTCCACTACAACTTAACTTCTTGCCGCTAATATCTCAATGAACAGTCGGAGAACTGATATTTAAGATAGGTTTTGAATCGCTACAGCTTAGCATGCAGATAACTTTGTCTGTTGGATTCATCGTATTTCTGAAGCATTACGAGTGGGATTCCTAGAGAAACTAAGATGGCTGAATGACATCATTGGAAAAAATAACGAATCTGGAAAGCTACTGGAACGACACCACATAAGCCCGTCATCACTGAGGCGTATAATCTATCAAATGAATCTGATATTGCGACAAGATCATAATGAGGTGATTTGAAAGTGATGTATGAGTTGTGCTTGAAAATTCATCCCAATAATAATAACACAGAACTGTACACCATCGTGTAGTCGTTATTTCGAGTAGCGAATGATGACGAAGAACGGCTACCAGTGTGCTAACGACCAAATCAATATTGGCTCCACAAATGAGACTGCTGCACACACCTCAATGAATATTTACGTGGGCAGGACTGCAAGTCAGCCTCTTCCTCAAACTGACTGTGGCACACTATCATATAAATCAACATGTTGTAGAGGTGTTTCAAGGACAAGTGAGATCCAGTCGTGTGATATCAGTTATATTCTGCCAATCCATCTGATCTGTGATGAAAGTTAGTTAAATTACAACACCGGGTTAACGGTGTCACCTGAAAAATTCATACTGTCTGTCGGCTTGTCTGTCCACATGCAAATCCGAGGTTTCTAGAATTTGTACTATTTCACCTTGTAATCTCTCTGTATGACGTCTAAGGTGAACAAAGAATATACGTCTCCATGCGATGTTTTTAGTGAAATGATTCAGTAGAAAATGCCAAACATCCTCATGCAGTAAAACAGACAGGTGATATCGTGAAACATCCTCTGAATATTTGACTACTGAAATTCATTTCATGGTTGATGTTGCCTAACCTCACTTATATTATTACCAAAATGTCTACAGGTTAAGAATGCATAAAGTGTCATGCATCCACGGAAAACCCACCTTTAAAAGTCAGCCAACTAACTACTAACAACATGTAAGTAGGTGGTGTAGTTTCATATAAATCTCTATTCTCTCTCGATTCCATCGTCGCTAATCATTTACTTTATTTACGTTATTAACGGAAACCTCAGTACAAAAATTGTATCAAATACTTTCAACCTATTTTAAAATGGAAATTTACTGATAACCCTCTTGTAAATGTTGACAGGAATTATATTCCGACTAGGCAATTGACAGCAATAACCACAAAAGTGCTTTTAAAATGACCGTTATCATTTCTACCCATGTGTGAAGGGCGGACGAAACACGAGATTTTCCTAGACAAAACAGTTAATCCAAGCACTTTACAACGAAACGTTTCTAGATTGTCGCATAATGTGAGATGCAAATCGGAAGGGTCAGACTCACAAGAAATTAGGAAGGTGAAGTGACGGAATATAAAATTACATCATGAGTGTGATAAAAATGATCATCAATCTGAATGCACGAAGCCTAGTGGATTTGCGGTAAACTGTTTATAAAAAAACTGTATGTAAATCACAAGGTATTCGGTAAAAACAAAAAGACATTTGACAATGCTAATAATAAACTAAATGAAATGAAACAAAATTAATTTGAGAAAATTACTGTGGCCACGGTAGTGTGAGTGAGTGTATGAAGTGCTTTTGAACTGGTGTGTGAACAGCCTGCCGTAGATGAATACAGAGATGGTTGTAATGACAGACAAATTACATAGGGTACATTTTTTAACAAGCACGAGAGGAATCATTTTATGCATTCACTTTTTCATTGAGTTCATTAATGATTCACAGACATTCGACATTTGTAATGTTCTGCATTAATGTGATGAAACGGTCAATAGAATGAATGCTGCCGCAACTACTGTATATTCATTTCGATGAAGTTTTCATTTACATTCTAGAATATTTGAAGTGTATTCCTTAGAGATAAAAATTCTCGAGAAGCATCTAATTTCTGCTGTGTTTGACAAGATGATTAAAATACTTTTGTCAAATTTTTTGTGTGACAGAAACGAAATACGTTTTGATGATGATAATATACTTTAAGGAAGGAACTTTGTTACCTTTATTTCTAAACCCAAAAGATAGAATTAAATCTGCACCAAAAAGGGACTGGAAACATCACACTAAATACTGACTAGTATCCAATCAAGGTATCCTATACATTCAGTCCTACAGGAGGTCGATCTAGACTCCAAATATTTCAGTGCTAACGTCTCTGAATTCCGGCAGCACTGGGTGACGCGGGTTTGAATCTTATGAGAAACATGAGTTCCTTCAAGGTTGTAGATACGCCTTGTTTACGAATGTCAGCTAGCACGAAACTCAGGTCCACGTCTTCCTGCCGATTGCCTCCAACCATCGAATATCATCAAATCAATGAGAAACATAATGACGATCTAGCTAGAATAGTGGCCACATTGCAAACCTACATGATAGAATTCAGTCTGCATCAGA